CCTGCACAATTTTGGTGAACCAATGGGGCACTAGAATTTGGTTACAGTACGATTACGGACACAGTACAGTACCGTCCGTTTCCCACTCATACGAAATCCACTCTATTATGGTATTACACTTAACTAATAATATTGATTTTGAAAACTTACATGATCCGTTGGAGTCTATTTTCTCTGCGTAAAAAGAAAATATATTTATTAAAGATAATATCCTCACTTCAGCCCCACACACTCTCCACCCTACCCCCCTCAGTTTCCTTTCCTCTTTCGATCAGTCTCGCAGGAAGGGGGGCAGGAAGGGGGGCCCTTTAAAGAGAGAGCCACCGGCTCCACACAACTGTCCAAAGTGTGCGAGCGATTGTATAACAGTAATTTAAAAGTGAATAAAAGCATAAACAAGACGGTTAGTTAATTCATCGAGTGACATCGAGTATTAAGCGGCTGAGAGCTGTTGTGATATTTCACCTCCTCAGAAGACTGCATCTCCTCAGAASACATCGAAAACTAGACAATGAACGAATCATRGACAATCTTCTGAGGAAGAYAGGAACACCGATTAGCGTGACGTGACGGAATAGTGATTGTGTTTCGTGACAAACCTAAAAGTTGCGTGACATTAATTTATGTTAATTAAGCACCCATTAGTGGTTAGGTGGAAACTACTACTAAATCCTACAGTTAGTTTATTACATTGATAGTGTTAATGTTAAGTGTTAGTTAGGTTGAGACCGTGAAACSAAAGCGTGACAATCATAGTATAGAATGCGTGATGTAAGTCACGTAATACCTGTAGTAGTAGCAGGCGTAGTGACAGGCGTAGTTGAGTAGAACACTGGTTCTGATGACKTTGAGTACACTGAATACACTGAATGATCGATTGACCATTAATATCATGTCACASGTAATGTATAGTGCTGTGAAGGTGCTTATTGGTCAATATGACGTCAATTCACCAAYGATGTCATAATTWCGTCATTTACAAAATTACGTCATAATGGTCCTAAAGATTGGCTAAATATGACGTCACATCATATCAAATGA